TTTAACCATCCATTGGTCTCGGGTCGGAGCACCCTTTTCATTGTCCCTTATCTAAGAGCAGCTTGTAAATGCTTTTTCACATTTAAGCCCATTGGCATCATCCCCCCCCCCATTTGTTATAGAGTTAATACAGATTTGGGTACAGGCAGTCCTCAACTTAAAATGTTTTGAGTTGCAACATTTTGCACTTACAATGTTTATAAATTGACACCCTGTTTCAACTTTCTGACGTCAGTTTTGACTTTACAACACTTGATCTGATGCAAAACCACACCAGTGAACAAGTGCGCTGCATCACCTATCTGCCTGGAGAACATATGTCCAAATTTCCTTGGACACTTTCTTGAAGAAAGCAGACAAGACTCCAGAAAAATCTGCAGCCAAGACTCCTGAGAAGACTCCAGCCAAGAACCTTTCACGAAGTCCAACCAAGAGCCCTTCAAAACGTACAGCAAAGTCTCCACCAAGAAGTCCTTCCAAATCAATATGATTGCTATTTACAATATAAATACATTAATGTAGCTATATGACTCATCTATAATTGATTGAGTACAAAATTATGGTTTTTTTTAGTGAAAATAGGGTATTGGGCCTTGGTTCAGGAACCAATCCCCCATTTATAACATTGTTTCCTATGGGGAAATTGGTTCTGATACAACGTTTCAACTTAAGACGTGGTTTTCAGGAACCAGTTGTGTCAAGTCTGAGGACTACCTGTACTTGGTATCAGTACATATCACTTTCGTGACTGAATCTCAGTCTTGATAATTCCTCTAAAGGATGGGAAGAATTATTAGGGGAGAATTATATTTGTGATTTGCAAGTTGACCTAGAAGCACTTGTAAGAAACAATGGAAGAGTCCTTTCTGGCAGCATCTGATTCACAAACTGCGAAATAAGATGAAGTGCCAATCTCAACAGCTAAAACTTAGACTGCAAGTAGTCCAGTGACTACAGGGATCACTGAGTTCCAGTAGATTAAACAGAGTTCAGTTAGTAGCAAGAAGCTCAGAGGCTCTCTCAAGCGCTGCTTGAGGTCAAGGACCTCTGCTGCCTGTGCAAGATAGGTCTGTAGTTCCCACATTGTTGTCTTGGCACTGGTCGTCTTCACTGGTAACCAGGAAGAAAATAACTGTTAGTCACTCAAAGGATTAATCCTTGTCAGCACCGGTCAGAGCTGTATCAAGTCTATCACCGTGTTAGCATTGCAACGTTCAGTACCAACTAGCACTTCCAGCTTGGGCTTCATATGGCACAGACACATAGGACTGCTTCTCACTCAGTAATGGCATCACGCTCTCTATAACTACTCTCTATAACTATGACTTCTACTCTCTTTCCCAGCAGAGTTCAGAGCAGGTAGAATCTCCTCTGTTCAACCTGTTCTATGTTGTTTATATTCAAGTCTCTTCCAGTTCCTAGCAGGATTTGGACACCAGAACCTCCAAAAGAGGTTCAGAGATTGCATCCAAATCAAATCTTAAACATGGATTATGGTCACAAACTGATGCTAAACAGCACATGAACATCATAAAAAAAATTAAAAGCAATTCAGCTGGCATGCAAGGGAACGGAAAAACAGTTTAAAAACTGACAAACTAAAAGCTGCAAAAAGTTGAGGTTCAGGATCAGATAACATTCTAGTCATTCTGATCTCTTTAGTTGACACATTTCTTTTTCTGTTTCCAGTGATTTTTCAGGATCCTTAGGAAGGTGAGACTGGATGGAACTCATGTAATCCTAAAAGCTCCCATGTAGCCTCACCAATTCTGGTTTCCACATCTACTTCTGTCCAATAGTCAGCCCCTAATGCCTTTCCAAAAGGGCATAATCTTATAGAACTTCAGTTTTATTCTGTATCCTGATTCAGTTTCTCTGTACCTCACTGTGTGGATGCTATATGAATAACTTTTGTCGCACAAATGGTAGCCCTTCACTATAAAGATATACATAACATAGTAGAAGTATTTTTCATCTTGGTCTGCTCTCCAAAGTGAGACCAATTTCAGCCTAAAGGCCTTTGGATTACATCAGAACAGCATATTATATTAAAAAAGTTAAGCTTTTGACTTGCATAAGAGCTCATTCAGTCAGGCCCAGGCTGCTTCTTGAGCATACATTACCAACATCCATGCATTCAGATTTGCTGAGTGACTACATAGTGCACATGTCTGCCAGTCATTATATGATAGTGTCAGAGTAGACATCAAACTAAGGAAAGCAGTTCTACAATCATTATTCAGGTGAAATCTTAGCTCCCACTGTCCAAAGGACCTCACTACTTACTAGAGGTGCACTGATACTTTGGTCCTATATTGGATCAGCATTGATCTAGGGAAAATTGACAGTATTGGCAAACAGCTTTTTTTGGCTGGTGTGGCCGATAATTCCACTGATAAATGTCCCTGTGTATGCACACAGCTGCAGCATCCATGCGGCCAGGAGCTCAGCCTGGTGGCTTGGAGACCAGCATTGGGCTGGTAATCTGTTGTGGGGGAAGGGGCAGGGGGACGGAAGGGGCATGGTGAGGGGAGATCAAGGCCCCTGTGAGGGAGGGGATGGGCTGGGGCAGGTGCCTAGCTGGAGGGTGGTGTGAGATGGAGCCGTGGAGCAGCTTATCCGGTGGGGAGGTGACTCCCGCCACTGCAGGCACCACAGGAGGGCATGGGGGAGGGGGGTGTTCCCCCAGATCAGCACATGGGGTGAAGCAGGCTGCACTGGGTTGGTGCTGGGGCGGTGCCAGGCTCTTCCTGGCCAGGTCTGGGCTGGGCTGCGCTTAGGGTGGACAGCGGTGGCACTGGGAGAGGGAGTACAGTGAATTCTTGGGTGGCTGCAGACCCCTCCCCGCATTGCGTAGATCCCCCTCCCAGCGCTGCTGCCACCCACTTTGAGCGCAGCCTTGGCCCAAACCCCCGCCAGGAGGAGCCCAGTGCTGCCTCAACCCCAGCCCTCAGCAGCAGCCTGCCCCGCTCCGCACACAGATGCGGGGACATGTGCCCCCCCTCCCTCCCTCCCCCCATGCCTTCCCAGGGTGCCTGCAGGGGTGGAAGCTGTCCTCTCCCCCTGCAGCCCTGGATGAGTCATGACTGTCCTGTGTCCTGCCTTGGCTGGGCAATGCCTGCCCCAGCCCCCACTCCACTCCCTCGTTCACCACAGAGACCTCAATCTGCCCCCGCACGTCCCTTCCTTTCCTCCGTCCCTTCCCCCACAACAGACTTACTAGCCTGATGCTGGTCTCCAGCCTGCCTGGCTGCATATCGGAATCAGATTGGAATTTGCTGATACGCCTCCTGAAAAATCAGCCATCTGTATCAGCCCAAAAAATCTGTATTGGTGCACCCCTGCTATTTGCTGATTACCATGAGTGGAAACCTTGTGTACAGGTACTCCAAGAGAAAGGAACAGGTACTTATGCCATAGAAACTGGTTTTTCAAGAAGTTCTATACCTGTGGATCTCGTATCTTGCCCTCTGTTCCCACAGCTTATCTGATCTTACCTGGTTCCTGAGTGATGAAGAAACTGAGTAGTAAGTGTTACTCTTATGCCCTTTCGAGGAAGAGCAAATGGCCATGGAGGGTGCTTTCATGGCTCCTCATGGGCACTGCTAGTAAAGGCTTTCTGAACTCCTAAGTGGGATCCATACATACAGAACATCTTGAAGAAACAGTTACTCTAAGGACATGTCTACACTGCAAACTTGTCATACCAAAGTTGTGTCCTCAGAACACGGCTCTGCTCCAGGTGGGCTACTTCCTGAAACAGAGATGGTGTAACTACTTTCATGCAGTGCTGCAGGCAAGCCGGATAGCACAGCTATGTGTTAAAAGGTAAGCTTGCAGTGTAGATGTGGCTTGAAGCAGGTAACTGTTTCTTCAGAATTATTTTAAAAATTATAATTGAGACTTGCATTATTTCTTTCACTTTGTTAGCATATAATTTTATATGATTTCTAAATAAATCAAAATAAATACTTACAGAGTAATGAAAGTCCTTCATTAGCTATGCACACAGGAACTTTACAAAAGAGGCAGCGAAGACCCCGGAAAGATTTTACAACTGAAGAAATAAACTATCTTTTGAGTGGTGTAAAGAATATGGGCAATCACTGGAATTTAATTTTATGGTCCTACCCATTTCAGAAAGGACGGACAAATGTTGATCTTGCCAAGAAATACCACAGGCTACACATGCATGTAATTGAAATGTAATTTTCTACTAATCCTTTATATTTGAACTCTAGTTAGTTTTAATTTTAATGTCTCCTCCACCTTTTCTGTTTTACGGTGTAAAGACCTAGGATGAGATCTTTGTGCTGTGTGTCTGAGGCTCATCACTAAATTTGCACCCCGGGGGGAAGATGGGTTAAGGTTGCTTTAAGCCACATTTCTTCCCTCCCAATATTGGATGAGACCGAAAGTCAGAATTGCCCCTGGGTTAACACAGCCCTAGACAACTGCCTACCTTAGAGCAGTCTACCAGTTGTTACGCCTGCCTCCATCAGTTCTTGTAGTGGGAGAGAATCAGATCTGGGACATTCAGAAATCTTTTGTGCCATTCAGACCCATTACCAAAAAGTAGGATCCAGAGAGAATAAGCATTTCACTTACAGCTCCTGTTTTTAGTCTGGTAAATTAGCTAAGGAAGGGAGGTTATGAATTCCAGTTTTAATCCCTGCTTTGACAATGACTTGTGTTACCTTAGATAAGTCAATCAGTTGATCAAAATGGCGATGAAACTTATTTATCTCTTACGTGGCAATAAGAAGGGCACGGTAATATTTGTAGGTGATATTTTTACTGTGTTTTTAAATTGTACTCCTCCTACAAAAGTGCTAAATTGTAGGTGTCTTTCTTTTAATTCTTTCTAGTTTTTGTCTTGACGCGTCTTTTTTTCCCTCCATTTTACAGATGAAGAAATAAAGTAAAGAAGATCATTAACCTGTTTCTGGAATGCTTAGTATTTTGTCAAAGAATTTGAAAGAACAGAATTAATAGTATAAATGGCATTTAGGTAATGCTAATGTACATATTACAGATGTTATTTAAATTATTTAATTCTTTATATTGTACTAGCACTGAAAAAAACAAAAGCCTAATATTTACCTGCAAAAATAGTTTTGTTTTGCAAACTTAAATGTAATTTTAATTTTATTAGGTACATTAGAATTGTGAAAATTCTTATGTAAAGTACACTTTATACCAATAAAATAGAAACACATTTTCTTTATTAGACAACCTGAAAAATCTCTCTAACTTGACCCTGCTATGCTCAAATAGGATACATTTGCTTGCTTTAAACTTTGATTTTGAAAAAAAGCAAAAAAGGAACAGTAGAATATAAACAGGACTATCCTAGTGAGATTGTTTTTATTGATGAACGTAAGTGAAGTTTTTCAGTTCTCTACAACAAATTTTGTTTGTTCTATACTGCTACTGAGCCTTAGTAGATGGCTTTTCAGTGAGTATGTAGACACTGGTCAGTGGACTTACAAGTAGTCGTCATAGCAGCCCTTTCATCCATATCCACATTATATTACTTACTATGTGATTAGGCTATCTTTGTTATCCTCACTGTTATATAAGGCCTCATATTTTCTTTCATTTCCTAGTTTATTGCTTTCTTTTTGATTCTGGAGTACTGAAATGGTGTCAGAGCAGTCATTTCCCTTTTCAGATTTATGTTCAGTTATAATCTTTAAGAGAAAAAACAATATTTTCTGTTTCCTTTGTCATCTCAGACTTTATGGCAGCTTTTGATTTTTGAATCTGCATCATGATCTTTCATATTGGAGTAATTTGGATTATCCACTTCATTCTCAGTAGCAGATTTTACTCCCTGCCCATCTTTCAGCAGATCTCAACCCCTCTCTGCTCATCCTTCTGTGCTTTGCTGTTACAGCAAGCTGCTTGGACAATGCTCCCCAGAGCTTCAAATCCTTCTATAGTGATCACTCTAATATCTTACCAGATGCATTTGAAATTGTAGCCATTTCTTTCAAATGTTATATTCACCAAAACTACACATATTCTGTTTGCCATTAATGCTTTTATCCAGTTGAATGAAATCTTCATAGTTCTTGCTACTAAGCTGCTGTCCAGTCTTTTTTTCTTTTACTTTTGTGTATTTTTCTGTTTTCTCAAACTTGCACTGGACAAGTGAAATCACCATTGAGAGAGAGCAAAGGGCTAACAAGTGATTCTTTGCCTCCCTTTTTTCCCTAATAGCATCAGAACAAGACTGTCGTAAGCATTTACATTACTATCTTATACTTCTGAGGAGAGGCTGAGGGAACTAGGCTTATTTAGTCTAGGAAAGAGAAGCCTGAGGGGGGATTTAGTAGCAGCCTTCAACTACCTGAAGGGTGGTTCCACAGTGGATGGAGCTGGACTGTTCTCAGTGTTAGCAGATGACAGAACAAGGAGCAACGGTCTCAGGTTGTAACAAGGGAATATTCGGAAACACTTTCTCACTAAGAGGGCAATAATGCATTGTAACCCAGGTTACCCAGACAGGTCTATCCTTGTAGGTTTTTCAGAACCAGCTAGACAAAGTTTGGCTGGGATGATATAGTTGGGGATGGTCTTGCTTTGAGCAGGGAATTGGACTAGATGATTTCCTGATGTCCCTTCCAACTGTAATTTTCTATGATTTTCATCTGTTGTCAGTGAGAAACATTTGTACAAGTGTACCAGGATGGATTGACATAAATTATGGCATTTTAAATTGGCAGTCCTAAAGCATGCTATAAAACATCAAGTGGAAAGCAGTTTTTCTAAGAAAGATGCCTTCTCATTGGTTAATATAACCACTAAACAATGTAGATTTGAAAACTGAGAACTCAGAGAAGCTATAAAATTATGAGTATGAGAGCCCCTGAACGGATGATCCTGATAAGATGCATGATGTTTTCTTGAGTTGGAGACTGGGTCCCAATGCCTATAATGGCTTTGCAAGTCTCTTTTCCCCTCTGGACCCCTTGAAAAGTATATGACCGATTGTGGCATGTTTATGAAGTTTGATCTCAAAACTTAGATATTTGTTCCCCTGAATCTCTCTTTATAGAAAATCATGCAGCCTAGAACTCAAAGCTTTAACAAGAGACTCGTGGATTCAGTATATACGGTATTTTAAATGACACCCAAGATAATACATGAGTAGTTTCTTTAAAATGATCTGCACAAAAAGTCCTTTGAGAAGGTTTGAAATGTTGGGAGAGAGAGCTGGCGTGTCCGGGTTGAGGTTAGCTCTAGTTCCTGTCTGATATTTAATGACTGGGGAGCTGTCCAGAGTACTGTGCGAGCTGAGCGTGGCGTTAGGCTGCAGCACTCGGCTCGGATCTCACTTCTCTTCCAGCTGAACTTGTTTCACGACCACTCCTGGAGTGAAGCAGGCACATGCCTTGCTCTGAATATCTAGGACTTGCACCGTGCTCTGGATGTAGGAGGATCCTGCCTTTTTCACTGACCAGCTTAATATTTCATTTTTGGTTTTAGCTTGTTAGGTAAATGAGGTTACTACAGGGATCGTTTTACGTTCCACAGTTAGCTCCAGCTTTCCCCTACGTACTTCTTCTGGCTGCTTCACTCGCACCTGACTTAAAAACCAGTTCAGAAACTGGAAGCCAGTCTTGTTCCTGTGGATTTTTGCTGCTGAGACCCTCCCCGTCCTTGCAAGGGGAAGTGCACCAGTTGTCGGGTCACGGAGCAGGGACCTTGTTGAGCTGAACGGGAACAGCATCAGCATCTTTCTCCACGGGGTGATCACCAGGGATCTGGGTTTTCTCTGATATAAAAAAAATCCCCAATTTTCAGTCAAAAAAAGTAACCCCAAATCCACATTTTTCCATGATTCGAATGAAATGTTACAATATATATCTATATAGAGATCTCTATACAGATATCTATCTATATATTTTCTTTTATATAGATATTTATATAAATATATTGATAAATTGATATATGTATATAGATTAATGTAATAGATATAGCTCTATAGAGATATCTATCTAGTAGTGGCGTTTCATTTGAAACACGGAAAATTGTGGATTTAGGGTTACTTTTTTAATCGAAAATTGTGGGGTTTTTTAAACCAGAAAACCAGCAGGATCCCTGGTGATCACAGACGGCCCTCAGAGACGTGGGCCCAGGCACGTGCGCAGCGGGACCACCACCCTGGTGCCGGCGGCGCTGGGACCAGGCGGGCGCTAGGAGGTGCCGGGCGGCGGCGCGGACCTCTTGCTCCGAACCGGGGACCCCCCACCTTCCT